TATCAAGGGGCTGTATCACTTTTTAAACCAAAGATCAATTTCTTACGTTTTTTTTTGGGTGTAAATTTCTTTGCAGCCTTTTGAAAATGATGAGGTTCTTTAAAAACCAAATGAAATTCTTAGCCTTTTTAAACAATAGTATGTCAAGTTGCAAAAAATTTCAGTGTGTAACCAACAGCCTGACTGAATGCAAATTTAGTTAAATCATGTCTTTCAATGATTTCAGGAGTGAGAAAAGGCATAAAAATTTTCAGTTTCTCATATGTCATTTTAACCCATAAGCGATGTTTTTTTCTACTGAATCAAAATATGATTTCATATCAAATATATTCCAAATAAGATCAATTATAATATCATCCTTATCTTCAATCACCCAATCATTATCATTGTCATTGTTATCATCTAGGATTGTTACAAAATTGATATCTTGAATATCCAAATACTTTTCATTAATGGCTTTCTTCAATATCAATTTTTCAGCATACTTTCTCATTTTCTGTGACCAATATTTAGTAATTAATTTAGCAATACAAATCAAAATAGTATTTTCTTCTACTTTTTTGAACCATTTATCAAAATAAGAATCTTTTAGTCTATTTATTTCTTTTTCTCTAATTGATTCTAATATAGGAAATATGTCTTTATTATATGGCAAAACTTTGCAAATCATTCCTGTTATATTATCAGTTTCCATTTTTATCCATTTGGAGGAACTCTTCTTCAATAGTGTCTGAAAAAGAAATACATATATAGTTAATAACTCTTTCCCAGTAAATAAGATTAAATATTCAGTAATTATTAAGTGATATATTTCAGTATATATATAGTACATACCAAGCTGTCCAACTTTAAAAACACTTTCTTTCTCTAAGAAATTCAGGAGTATACTGATTTCTCATCATAAATTAGAGAGGTATTTAAATAGTCTCACTTTCTCTCTTCATCTTATACTACTAAAAATGAAAAACATAATACTATTTTTTTTTTGTTGTTTCATAAATTATTATTGTTTTTTAATAAGCAAATTTACAAGATAAGCTATAAAAATTTTTATAAAACATTGAATTTTTTCATTTTCTGTTAATTTATTTATAGAGTTAGATAAAGATGAAAATTGTATATCTTCATTAGTAACAGAAACAGTAGTAGCAGCAGCAGCAGTAGTAGCAGCAGCAGCAGAAGTAGTAGTAGCAGCAGCAGTAGAAAAAGTATTATTATTATTGTTATTGTTATTATTACAGTTTGGAAATACTTCTGCTCCTTTAATACCTAATAGGAACCATTGCCCAGTACAATCAAAACCTTTATGTTCAACAGTTAAAGATATTAGTGTGTATGGATGATAATTATCATCATAATCTAAAGTTACACTTAGAGTATGGTAATGATTACTTCTTTTGTAATTCACTTTTAATATAGAAGTAGGATACTCTATCGAATTTAAAGTGTGTATTCCTTTTAAGTATTCAGGGAAACATTTTGAAAAAACCACTTTAACTTCGATTTTGGCATTTTCTATTCTTTGTGTATGGGCTAGAATTATTGTATCTGAAGTTTGGAGACTTAGATATGTCCAGTTTTTGTTATCAGAACATGTTTTAATTCCTAAACATTGATTATTTTTAATATAATTGTATTTTTTAACATCTAAAAAACGAATTTTTGGTCCTTCTATTGTAATATTAATTATTTTAATACTCCATTCAATTAAAGACTCTTGTTGTTGTTGTTTTTTATCTAAACTTTGATTAGTTATGTTAAAATGGTAATTAATAGTATAATTTTTATTATAGTTAAGATCGATACTCAAATCATTGTCGGCAACATTTAAAAAGATAGAATAAATATTATTCCACAATCCTCTACCAGGATTGAATTCAGGATAGAAAATTCGATGTTGCCACTCATTACTGTCATTACAATTTGAAATTTTATAGCGAATTGTAGTATCAGTTTTATTACCATTTATTTCAATACACACTATTGAAGTGTTTTCTTTAGTCACCACCTCCCAATAGCTTTCCCAAGGTTTTTGATTATGATCTTCAACTTGTATAATTATAGGAAGTGGAAATAAAATATTGTTATTCTTTTTTAAAAGATCTCTTGGATACAAAAAGATACACTTTTTTTCATTATCCGATGTAGGCGATACAGGCAATAATATCATCAACATAGTCACAATTGTATTCAAAGTATTATGGTACATTCTTCCGTTTTTTTATATATATATTTCTTGTTTGTGTAAAATAATTTAAATTATGATATAAAAGTTTATATATAGTAAATTGAAAATTTTTATTATTTCTCTTATTACAGAAACGAAAATTAATCAATCAGACGGTACTTAAGAACTTCATTTCGTCTGTTAAGTGTTTAGAAACAAATATAATGACATCATCTTTTCAAAACACTTTGGATACAATATGGTATAACTACACAAATTCATTAATAATGGATATCATAATATCAAACTACACAAACTCATTAATACAAGAAAATTTATTAGGAGGGTTAACTGCCAATCAAGAGAGTGAGCCACAGTTTAGAGAAAACAAATTCACTTCAAACTACACTACCCCTCCAAAATAAGATGATAGTAAATATAATTCAAACAGCCCCAACTTTCAAAATCTATCAAAACCTCACATTAAACCAAAGAGTAAACGAGTACAATGTGAAAATATGTAATAAAACATTTGTGCAGTAATATCTTATTTACTGACAACATTTAAAAATTCAACTGGTGAAAAAATTCATTTGTAATTATTGTCATATGAGTTTTACTCGTCAATATGCTTGAGGAAACATATAAATGTAGTACATTTGGGTTTAAAACACTTACACTTGTAGAAAAACTTTGTAATGGTGTCAGAAACCATTTACTTCAAAGTATTTGAGAAAGCATGAACGTATACACACAGTAGATGCAGATGGAAAACTTTTTTTTATGTAATTATTGTAATATTCCTTATAAAAATATTATCACATTATCAAAACATATAGAGAGAGTCATAAACAAAATTTGCAAATCAAAAAATAATGAAAGATTTGTAATGCCTTAAAAAAATATACAATGAAAAATATTCAATTATGTATAATGGAAAAATGTAATATTTAATATATTATTATGATATTATATAATAAGTATCTTTTTTATGTTGATTTTCTTTTCCTTGTTCTATTTTTTCTTCTAGCTTATTAGAAATTGAATTGTTTTTGTTATCTAATTTAATTTTCTTTTTTTCACTATTTTTTTTTACTTCATCATACATTTTATTTATTTTAATTACCATTTTTTTATCAAGTCTTGCCCTGTCATTATAATCTTTACTAAAATAGTAATCAAACCATTGTTTAGTACAAATTAAAAACAATTTAATTGATAAGATAAAATTACTGATAACTTTTTTATTTGTATTGAGAGACATTTTAGTGTCTTCCATTTGGTTCTCCATATTTATAATAAAATTAAAAACATATAAATAATTTATATATAAATGGTTAGTAAAAAAAAATAAAAAAATATTCAAATTACAGAACAAATTTTATTTTAAATAATTGAGTATTTCAAAAATATTTCAATCATATATAATGAAAAAATGTTAATATTTATCCATATTACATAATGAAGCATGTATCTTTTATTTCTATCTTCTTTTTCTTGTTCTTGTTTATTTTCTGTTTTAGATTATTATTAAAAACTGAATTATTTTTTAATTCATTACACATTTTATCTAATTTATTTCTCTAATTTTTTTTTATTTCATCATCAAACATTTTTTCTAATTTAATTCTAAGTCTAGATCTGTCATTATAATCTTTACTAAAATAGTAATTAAACCATTGTTTAGTACAAATTAAAAACAATTTAATTGATAAGATAAAATTATTAATAACTTTTTTTTCTGTATTTACTACAATATTGAGAGAGTTTTAGTTTTTTTTCAATTGGTTTCTCCATGTTTTTAATAGAGTTTAAAAATATTAATAATTTATATATAAATGCTAAAAAATATTAATGATTTATTTATATATAAATGAGTAAAAAAAAAATAAATCATAAAAAAAATATTCAAATATATATATTTCAATAATTAGTCTTTAAAAGATTTAATTATGTATGCAGTCTTTAATAATGTTCATAAAAAATATTTCAAAAATATTCACACAAAGGCTTTTCATATTAATAATATAATATTTTCTCTTCATTATAAAATAACAATAATATTTTTAGTTATATTTTGTATATTAATAACACAGAAACAATATTTTGGTGATCCAATTGACTGTGTAGTAAATGATATCGATTCTAAAGTCATGAACCTGTATTGTTGGATTCTTTCTACCTATACTACTTCAAAGGATGGAAAAATCAAATTTTATCATAAATATTACCAATGGGTTGCCTTATTTCTCTATTTTCAGGTTAGTTAATTTTTTTTATTATATATATCATTAATAGAATAATAAAAATATTATTTTTTTTTAAGTAAAACATAATTTAATTATTTTTTTCTAATTTACACAGATTATGATGTTTTACTTTCCTCATTACTTATGGAAAATATTAGAAGGAGGAAAGATTAAGATGTTAGTCTCTCATCTCAATAATTCTATTGTAGATGATACAATTAAACAGAATAGAATTAAATACTTAATAAACTATTTTACACTCAACTTACATTCTCAAAATATTTATGTTTACAAATTTTTTGGCTGCGAAATTCTTAATTTCGTAAATGTTATAGGACAAATATACTTGACTAATAGGTACGTTACATTAATATTATTTTTTAAATTAATAATATATGATGATATTACTAACTATATTTAAACAATAATAATACAATATAATATAATAATAATGATTTTTTTTTTTAGATTTTTAGGATACAAATTTTTAACTTATGGTACTCAAGTAATAGCTTCCAGTACACATATGAATGAATTATTCCCAAAAGTAGCAACGTGTACTTTATACAAACATGGTTCATCTGGATCTATAGAAAAAATTGATAGTCTTTGTGTTCTTTCTCTGAATATAGTTAATGAAAAAATATTTCTTTTTTTATATTTTTGGTAAGTTAATAATTATTAGTTATATTACATAATAATAATATCATTTCAAATAGGCTAATGAAAATAATATATCTTTAAGAGAAAATTCCAAAAATAACTTAATTTTAAAGGAGTTCTTGCTAATTGACCAGTTTTACATATTCGGCACAACAACAATAATAATAATTGATATTTGCTATAGTTAAACTTTTTTTATTATTTTAGGTTTATCATATTGGCAGTGTGTTCAGTATTGGGTATAATATACCGACTAGCAACTTTTGTACCCATTATTAGAAATACCATTCTAATTATGAAAGTTCATCGTCACCATCGTCTTTCAATTAAAAAAATTTCCAAAAAATGTAAAATAGGCGACTGGTTCTTTTTATATCAATTAGGTTAGTTTATTAAAGATTAACTAAATATTTAAATATTGAAAAATATTTCATAAAAAAAAATATAAAAAAATTTAAACGTTAATTGATTTTATATCTTTTCAGCCAAAAATATGGATTCACTGATCTACGAAGAATTTATTCAAAAATTAGATTTAAGTCTTCAAAGATAATAATTATCTTATGGCCAATACAAGCACAAGATATAACATTCTCTTAATTAATGGAACGAAATAAACAAAGTATAATAAAATGAAATAATTCTTTCATTTATTTTATTTTTAATATCCAAAATTTCATTCAATGTTCAAACTTCAAACATTTTTTTTAACATAATAGTATAAACAAAATTATTTCAAAAAAATCATGAGAAAAAGAGTATAATGTAAAGAATTAATATAAAAAGACTCAAAATATAAAACATTTATACATAAATTTTAAATATTCAAATCAAAATATTAAACAATTACATATTTTAAATATTCATAGTCATATTTGTAGTAATATAAGTTTTTAGATCAGCTTCAAAAATTGAATTACAGCAAATGAATTAGTCTTTTGCTAAAAAAGAATTTTTTTTTATTTGCAAATATTTTTCAAATTTGTTTCCCATGTTTTTTTTTAAGCTTTCATTTTTTTTTTTGAGCATTTCAAAATCTTTTAAAGTTAAAAACAAATCTATATGATTTGCACCCCCAGTTTTAATGGGAATTTTTAAAATAGGCATTAAAATTAGGGTTGGGTACAGGGGACAATGGGTTTATAATGATGAAGAAGACATTGTTCCCCCCTCAAGCTTTTGTTTTGAATGAGAGGGTGGGGTTTATCATTCAAAATTGTTTCTAGGTACAAATTTTTTTTAATGTTCAGACACATTCAGCACCATTTTTAATGGAATTTTTTAATAGGCATTTAAAATTATGGTTTTGGGGTACATGGACTAAAATGAAAAAAGGTTTTGAAGAAGACATTTGTTCCTCCTCAAGTTTTTGGGTTTTTTGGATGGATGGTGGTGGTTTTCATCTACAGAGTTTTTTCTAGGTTCTCTGACTTCCTTTTCTGTGTTTAATAGTTCAGACCATCTACACACCATTTTTAAGGGGAAATTTTTAATAGGCATTAAAATTACGGTTGGGTACATGGACGCTTTTTGTGTGGAAATGATGAAGAACAATTTGTTCTTCAATCTTTTTTTTTGAGATGATGGTGGTGGTGGTTTATCTCTTCAAATTGTTTTTGGGTTTTTATTAACCTTCTTTCTGTGTTAAGAGGGGAGGTAATCTTGAAGTACATTAACTCTTGCAGCTAAATCAGATGTTGGGCCCCAAAATTTAAAAAAAAAGCTGAATTTCTTTGTTCCACTACCGGGAAAACGTCCCAAAGCTTGTATAGGAACCCACTATTATATGAAGAAACCCATTTCTAACCTGAAAATAATTAATAAAATTTTAAATTTTGTAATAATTTTTTAAAAAAAAATATCTGAAACTATAACACCTGTTTACACATAATCAAGTTTTCCCTTATTTAAGATGAGACTTACTTAACAGTGTTTACACTCCCCAGTCAAGTCTCCTCTAACACACTTTTCAGTTAAGAGTTCAATTTAATATATAAAAAAGGAAAAAAACGTTTGTTTTTAGTTTATTTATAGAAAATGTGTTTTGTTGTTTTTTAAAACTGCTATGTCATGTCACCTTTTTCCCTGTAAAAGTAAAAACTGACCCAACTGTTAGTCCCAAATATTTTAAATTAGAAAGAGAGATTCTAAATCCGTTGCGGTAGGTTTTAAGCAGTGATATTTTTTGGTTGTTGAAATCTGGGTTAAGTTTGCCATTTTTTTTATTTTTTCTTCGTTGTCTTTTATTTTTGTTTCTAGTTTTTTTTGTTTCCTCTTTTTGTTAGTTCTTCCATATATGCTGAATAAAGACTTGCTGAGTTTGTACGTTACCTGTCGCCAACTCTTTTACATTGCTTCGATGGGAAACATCAGGGGGTATTGAAATCACACCCCTTTTTAACTTTTTCCGAGAATCCAGTTCTTCCAAAGTGAAAGAATGGTCAGTTTTCATAACTTCCTTTAAAGTTATATACATTTTCCTTTTAATAGGTTTATACTGTGTTGTTAGGTGTGTAATCACGCCATAATTAGTTTTGTTCCCCATAATTTAAAAAGTGGGGTGTTTTCCGTTTTAGCGGCTCCATAATTAGGTGTGATAGTTTTGGGGGACTAGGTTAAAAAGATTTAAAGTTTAAAAAAATTTTTTTTATTTTTTTTTAAAATTTCCAAAGATTTAACAAAATTTTAATCAGAAAAATTTTTATAAACATCCTTTCAGTTTGACAAAAAATTTCATTTTAACAAATTATTTTGGGTTTTACTTACATATAATAGTATAGCAGGGAAAATTGCCAAAAAAAATTACTGATAAAAAAATTTGTAAAAAAAGATAAATATAATGTAAAGAGATGAAAAAAAAAATTTTTAAAATTACATTTAAAATTTTTTATAAAGTTGATTAAAAACCTCAGGATTTATTTTTTAAAATAATTTGTACAGTTTTATCATTAGTGAAAAAAAGACTCAAAATTTAAACAATTTTTAAATATTCTAAATACATAAAAACCCTTTAAAGTTCCTTTTCATGTATGGTAATACATATATCTTTTTTCTTCAATTTTTGAATTACTATCATTGCAAGGTTAGCAATTTAAAAAAAATTTAATTTTTTTAATAAAGTGGTAATGATGTATGAAAAAATAATAATCTAAAGATATACATTTAATTGGCCATGAATGGAAATTTTAGCTGGTATACGTTTTTTTTTTAAAACCCAATCAAGATTGTATTAAAGTAGGAATCATACGAAAAAAAAAGGAAAAATTTTATAAATAAATAAATATATTTTAAAATTTTTTATTCAGAAATTTAAAAATATTATACATTTAAATCTATACTTATTTTTAAATTCCCATTAGTTATACAAATTTAAAATGATGATAAAGAAACATTAAATTTTTAAAAAATTTTAGTGGGGAAAATGAATGGAAAACTTTTATATATAAGTGGGGGTTGATTACCCCAAGGTTATTGTTTATTCAATTTTTTTTTTTTAATTTTACTAAATTCTGAGAAAAATTTTTTAATTTTTAAAATTTGAAAACTTATATTGAAACATTATTTTTTTCTTTTTTCAATTTCCGCTTAATAAATTTGATACTTTTCTAAAAAAAATTTTTTCAAGTTTAATATCGGGAATATTAACAATAGGTTTATTTCTTTCATTTTATCCTCTTTATCTTCTTCTGCTGATGACACATAGTTTTCTTCTTCTTCTTCTTCTTCTTCTTCTTCTTCTTCTTCACTTTGAAATATATAGTCTTCGGAAAAATCTTCTTCTTCTTCTTCTTTGTTATAGTCTTGGGTTTAAAATAAAGGGTAGCACTAATGTTCATAAACACCGTTTTTTTCATTTTTATCAGAAACTACTACATTTTCATCTTCTTCTTCTTTGTTATAGTCTTTGGCAAAATCACTGGTAGCATCTAACGTTGCAATAACACTGTCTTTTTCATTTTTATCAAAACTATACATTTTCATTTCTTTTTCTTTGTTATAGTTTCGGCAAAATCACTGGAGCATCAAATGTTGTAATAACACTGTCTTTTTCTTTTTTTATCAGTAACACTACATTTTTTTACTGTTGCAGTATTTAAAAAAGATTTCTTCAAAAAATGCTTAATTTTTTATTGTCCAAAACTTCTACTTCTTCTTCTTTTTCCCTTTTGTTAAAATCTTCGGCAAAATCACTGGTAGCATCTAAGTTGAAATAACACCGCTTTTTCATTTTTACAGAAACTACTACATTTTCATTATGCTAGCGTATTATAAAAATTCTACTTCAACAATGACATTAACTTTTTATTGCCCAAATCTTTATTTTTTTTCTTTTTCACACTTTCCTTTTGCAGTTTTGTATTTTTTCTTTTTTACATTTTTTTATCAATAATATTATTAGTTTACTTTTTAAAGAATTGTTATTGTCCCGTAGTTTTTTAAGTTCAGATTCAAACTATCATTTTATAAAATTATTTCATCTTTTAAATAATAATTTATAAATTTTTTGAACAAAACAGTAATAATTTTTTTTGAATAAAAAAATTATTTTTAAATTTGTTCTTTTTTTTTTCATTATTAGACGTTCCATATTGTTTTTCACCTGTTTTCTTTCCTTTTTATAATGGAAAATTTTACTAATCAACGATTATTAGGATGATTAATTAAAAAAAAAATATTGTTTATTTTTAAAATTTTCATTTTGATTATGTTCTTATATTATCGTTTGTTAGTCGATTAGATTCTGAAAAAATTCCCTTTAAATTACAAGGTTGTAAATCATCTAAATTTGATTTAGGGAGTCCTTCTAATAATTATGGGGAATTTAAAAGAGATAATGTTGGGTATGTTTTTCTACAAATTTATGAGCATCAAAATAGTGATTTTTTTAATGCTTTGGGAAAAAAATTTTTTTAAAAAGTTGATAATGTTTTAAAGTAACATACCAAATTTATTTTCAACTAAGTTACATCTTCCCTAAATTTTTAGACTATCCTCGTTTAGGAGAATAAAATTCTGTTGTTCTTAATATTTGTTGGGAAAATTTCCCAAAAAAAATTACTATGCACATCAACAAACCTGGCGAATCAAGATTAAATGACAATTTGCATGAATAAAAAGAGATCTCCTTTATTAAGTCGTAGTTTTTTTCGTTCATGGTTATAAGGAAATTTGGGGAAAAATTTAAAACTCAAATTTATGGAAAATCCGAATCAAAACGTGATCGAAATGAAATAAAACGAAGCCTTTGTTAAAAGCCGAACTATTCATAAATGAAGGGCAATTATACCGAAAAAAAATGGAGGTGGCTAAAAAAGTAGGTTTCTCCATCAGCATAATTTTGAGAATCCAATGGAGAAATTCCACTCAGTTGTTTTTAAAAAAAAGAGCATTTAATGTTTTGTTTACTCATTTCTCCATATACCCTTTTTCACGCTTTCCCACCTGACTAAAACGTGGGTTCGTTCTTGGGACTTTAGAGCCGTATGAGTGATAAAATTCCCGCTGAATTACCCCTATCATTGTTAAATATTTAATAAAACCGTTTTGCCTGAA